TAAGTTTAATATCAATAAAGTTTTTATCATGACAAACAGTAAGTCTCGCATCTATTAAAAATATTATATTATTTAATAAAAATAAAATAAATCATTTTTAAAATAATTAAAATATATTTACCATTATTCGCATTTTCTTTTTCTTGTAAAATTATTGGTATAGATGTATTTTCAGTAGCATACCAATTCAAGAATATTGAGCAAAGAGATGGATCTTTCACTATGTTGGTAAGTGCATTAGTACCAATACCAAAACGAGAGTCTATACAACCATCGATTATATGCCTTAGAGCTTGCACCGTATTATAACGTCGAGTAAGATCAAGTTCAACTATCTTGCGATTTGTATGTGATACCATTCCTTTAAAAATACGATGAACCATTTCTTTTACTCCTACAGCGGTATTTACAAGTGTTCCAAAATTACGAGCATGTTGTGGAAGATGTATATTTACGTGAAGATTAGGAAGATTTATGAAATCTTCAGGAAATAGCTATATAATGTTAATATGTATTATTTAGTTTTTTTTTTATTATAAATATAAATGAAATATATAAAAATAAAAAAAAATTTACTTGTATAAGCATCTCATGTTCCCTTCTGAGTAATTTATGTAATTTTTGATAGGTATTTTCTGTCATAGTCTTTGAAAATACGAGTTTTAGTACTTTAGCTTCAATGGCCCAAAGAGTAGTTAATTGCGTAGTTTGCCTTCTGTTAGAGTTTGTTTGCCACTTCTTTAAAATTTCTGCTTTTATATGACAAGGCTTTAAAAAACGTCGAAATATAAATGGCATTAGCATTGCAAGCCTTAATACATCGGAAAACATGAAGCTTTGATGATGTCGTAATGGATTTGGCATTCGGCTCCAATGAATTGGCTTTTCAATACTTCTCCAATGTTCTGTAAAAGCTTTTTCGCCAGTTATACTTAATATATGAAATGTTGCATTTAGTAAGGTACGTGCTTTTCCAGCCATAGAATGGTATGCATCTTGTGGAGTTTGTATATGTTGATTCCATTTAAGTATACTGAGTGATCCCAAAGATAGTGTTAATCCATATTTAGTGGCTAATTGTTCTTTAGCTACTTTTGTATACTGACGTTGAATCTCTAAAAATTGTTCTTTTGTTTGTTGTTGAAAACGTGCATTTGCTATATAATTATAATTTAAGTTGGTAAGCTGATCATTTGAAACGTTGCATGTTCGACACCCGTGATTAGCCCCATGCCGTTTGATTCCTGCTAAGCTATTACCTTGAGGTAAATCAGCAGTGATACATCCAAGACCACCTATAATCCAAGCATCACCATATAAAGTTTGCATAATAAGACCATTCTCTAAACATCGTATATCTTCAAGTACTGGCTTTATAAAATCATCAAAACTGGTACCAAATGGAACAAGACTGATTAAAAAGTGATTTTTAAGTAACTTTCTGAAAGATAATGGCATATTCCCAAATTGCAAATATATACCACCTAAAGAATGATATATATTTTTGTAAGTACCAAAATCGGCATAATATATGTCAAGAAATATTTTGAGAATTGGCATTGGTTGTGGTAGTAAGTTAATTGTGATATATTCAGAAGAAAGTTGATGTCTTTTTGCTATATCGCGATATTTCCACTGGCCATCAAAAACGATATACAATTTTTTGAATATAAAAATCATATTTTGCAGGTTCTTGCTGATCGCAAAGCCATATAGTAACATGTTGTTTAATATTTACCAGATTGACTAAAGTTGAATCACTTTCAACAAGCCATAACTCTTTTCTATTTCCACGAGTATATCGATTATTATTAGATTTGCAATTGGGAAGGTTTTGATGATGTAAGAGCTGATCGACTTTTAACTTGTGCTCGCTTATTTTGTCAACCACTATATCACGTACATGACATATAAATATTGTTGATTTTTCATGACATAAAAGAAAGTCACCAGCTTTACAGATTTCTAAAAAAATATTAAATATTTAATTTTTTTTTTTATGTAAAGATCTATAAAATATATACGTATATATACTACCTTGATTATTAAGTTTTATTTCGTATTTTCCAAATAAAGGAGAATCTTGCCAAAGATCACCATGCCAAAACTCATACTTTTCCTCTTCGATTACACCTGGTCCAAAATACATTTTTGATACAAGCGTTGGATTATTGAGTATACGCTTCAAATGTACCAATGGAGATATAGTAAATGCTTTTTTGGTAGATACAACTGTGGATGGTGTTTGTTGTTTATAGATAGGAATATTATGCTGACATACTTTAAGTAAAGGTAATCTGCTTCTCCATTTACGAATGCGTCGAATGTTTTTGACAACGTCTTCTTTACAATAGTTAAAATGTGTGATAATCTTGACAAGATCTTCATATGCAGTAGTCGCTATATAAGAAAGGTAAATATTATTAGTATATTAGCATACATGTTAAAAATTTAATTTTTATTTACGTACATATCATATGCTTTGTAATCCATATAAATAACATCATCGATGTAAAATTCGGAAAGTATGGTCCATATTCACTATCGAAACCTTCAAATTCAAAAGACTCTTCTTCTAACACATCATCTATCGACTCTTCTTCTAACATATTATCTATCGGATCTTCTTCTAATATATCATTTATCGAATCTTCTTCTAACATATTATCTATCGAATCTTCTACAGTATCCAGCAATGGCGTATCTACTTGATTTTCTTAAAATATTTGTAAGAATTTATTATTATAAATA